TATAAAGGGTCACCACAGAGACGATGTCTGTCAATATAGGCACATTGCCAGAAAAAAATTGTGCAATCAAGATCTTCGCTTAGTATATTTCGAAGTTGAATTTGTGAAAAATAGGTATATTTCTGTTCCATTCCATGATTAGCTTTAACTGCAGTAATCCCGTGTTGCAGCACGCAGATGCTTCATCTTTCCACTGAAGGTCCTGTACTCAGAGTAAATTTGCGCACGTGGCCGATAGAAGATGATTCCCGTAAATGTTGTATTCACTGTAAGATGCAACCAAACTTCAACGTCACAAGATATGGCCAGTCTGGGGCCTGTTTTATGAAATTTTAAATAAGATAAACTTCAAATTTTAGTAATTTGATTGGATAATATTAGATTGATTTTAGTGCTTAACCTAACAAAATTGAAGTATATCTACTAAAATTTGGATTTTATCTTTAGTTAAGATTTCGAGAAACAGGGCCCAGGTTTTTTAAGATAGAAGTTCTCCCTTTACCTATTTTTGATAGGCATTTAAAGTCCGACAAAATCTATCCACGTATTTAAAACAAAATGAAATGAAATGAAATGGGGTTTAACGTCCTACTGTTCTGCTCCTATACTGGGCTAATGAAGACGGGCATACGCCATACAGTGTGCTATGAGGGAAATTTTGCCCGGGCAGCGGCACTATCGCCTACTCTTATATCGAATTCCAACTGCCAAGGGATCTTTTACGTGCATTCCATGGTAAACACGCGACCTCGGTTTTTCGTCTCATCCGAAGGAAAATCCAAATGAACTTTCTCGGCCAATGCAGGGATCGAACACCCGACCTCCAGGCTAGCGAGCCAGCGTCTTAACCAACTAGCCACCGTGGCTCCCTTTATTTAAAACAAAGAACTAAACAAAAATGAAATGGTGTTTAACATCCTACTTTTCTGCACCGACTGTTCTAATAAGACGACCATACGCCATATCCCTGCTATGATGGGAATTATGCCAGGACAGTGGCGCTGGATCTTATTCTTATTTCGAATTCTAACTGTCAAGGGTTCTTTTATGTGCACGTCAATATGTACACTGTTGCTGGCTAGGAACCCCGTCATATACAACTGACAAGGAAGAAACCAGGCCGGAGTGAAGCTGAGACATCCGCGTCAGCGAGCTAGCGACTTATCACTGAGACACCGCGGCTCCCAAACCTACATGTAAATATAGACCCCTATCAAATTGGTGCCATTTATATGATTTTGTAAATGTAATCAAATATGAACTATTTTGCTGCAATAAATAAATAAAAATAAACTAGTCGATGGGGCGGGACGATTTACCCAATACTACCCAATACCACCACATACTACAACATAATGATGCGAAATCAAAAATTATCGTATGGTTGGGTGGCCGAATGGTTAACGCGTGCGCGTTGCATCATAAGGTCTGTCATTGAATCAAGTGGCATGGTTTCGATTCCCCGCTTGTACGTGACAAGGAGTAGGATCGCCTGTCCAACCTTGTGGGTTTTATCCGTGTCCTTTGGTTTCCTCCCATTGCTAAAGACCCCCTACGATTGATTGGAATAAAATTGAACCATATGTTAGTCCCGAAAAGACCTAGTTTGTGTCGTGTGGACGTTACCACCCCCTCCCCCTTCTCTCTCCCTCCCGAAATTTTACATGTTTGTTACAAGTGTTTAATGCTCTACATTCCACCTGATCTAACAATTAATCAACAGGATTAAGATTGTTGATTGGATAATCAGTTTGGTTTTGTTTTCTTTTATCAGAAAAGAAACCTAGAGTTGTAATTGTTTAAGCAGATTAGTGAAAGGGGGGCTTATATTATATTATGTGTATTTTATAGTTTTGATAAACTGAAAAGTGTCGACGAAAGAGTGATGTTAATTTATAAAGAGAAACGTGTCGATATATCCCTACAATAGCACCTTTTGGATATACATTACATTGTATTCTAGTAATATCGAAGCCCATCTAGCTATTCTTGTTGGTTTATAAATAGATGCATTTTCTGATGATTGCAGTAGTGTAATGAATGCACATGCTAAAGCTTCCTTTTCTCCAATGCTGTATTTTCTTTCGTATCCATTCAATATTTTGGACGCAATGCTATGGGACGAATCTCACCATTTCTTGCTTTTGGCTTAACTATGCACCGAGAGCATAATTAGACGCATCGCAGGTCAGAAATGTAGGTAAGTTGGGATGAAAAAATGTTAATGTAGGTGGCGTAGTTAACGCGAGCTTAAGTGTTTTGAATGCTTCCATTCTCGACCTTGGCGACCAAGTTTACGTATAGTTTCAGTTATGTTGGCGAGTTGAAGAATCAAATAATAATAATAATAATAATAATAATAAAAACTTTATTTAATGAGGCAACGTATTTAGTTTGCAAAAAAAAAACTAATCTTCCATAGGTCCCTCCTTAACTACAAAGACATATATACATGTAATATCAGGATAAATTTAAAATCATTAGAAATGCAATAGCATTTTAAAGTGGGAAGTTTGATAAGTCACTCCCAAACTACAAAACATATACATTATACAAGTAGAATATAGGAAGAACACTATAATTACACACAAAATAAAATAGAATGCAGTTGCAAGTTAAAAATAATAAGTATGTCATCAGTTGAATATTATGGTTCCTTCAGTGTGCAAAATAAATGAGTTTTCAGTTTAATCTTAAAATTTTCAACATTTTTACACATCTTTATATCAAAAGGCAGATTGTTCCATAAAAGACATGCAGAATAATGAAAAGTACGTTTCATGGATTCCGTTTTGCATTTTTGAAGAAAAAGAGATTTACTGGTCTGTGAACGGAGCAAGATATCCGTTTTGGAAACAAGAGATTTTTCAATAAAATGGAAATTTAGATAAAGTGGAGTGTTAAATTTCCATTTTATAAATGTGCGTAATAATTGAAGAAACCTAATATACTTTGGACTCCACTAAAATTGATTGGCGGCAATAAATCTCTGACTGCTTCCACATTCTCTGGTAACATATGAACCCCATTTGATGAAATAGAATAACCTAACCAGTTCACTTCATTGACTTTGAAAAAAAAACATTTGTTAGGACTAAGTGTTAAATTATTTCTAGTACACGTCATGTTCCTGTTGAGTTTCCGTTACTATAAGAATATCATCAAGTAAATTGTAAACCTTAGTATAATGTCCATCATTTTTTGAAATTCTGCTGTGGATCTGCTAAGCCAAAGGGCACTGTTACATATCTAAACTAACCTAATTCAGTAGCGAATGTTGTAAGTTTCTTGGTATTTTCATGTAGCGGTAGTTGATGACAGGCTGCGTTCATATGAAACCTAGAAATATAGTTAGCTTTTTTAATCGATCCGAACATTCTAAAGGATATTTCCTAGGCACACTGTTTTTATTTACGACGCGTAGATCCACACATAACCTTACTTTTACGTCGAGATAACACTATTGGGCTTAGCCATTCTGCGTGATCGCACTTTTCTATAAAACCGTCACTCAACAAAGATTCTATTTCTCCCTTTAATTCTGTTCCATACGCGAACGGTACTGGACGAGCTTTCTGTGCAACTGGCAGAGCTTCTTCACGCAATATAAACTTATGTTGAAATTTGGTAGTTTTGCCGATTCGATTAAACACTCTAGGAAATTTACTTTTTAGATTTTCAAAAGATGCAATATGATTAACAGTATAAATTTTCTCGGCATCTTTGTATGAATTATTTACTTTAATATCAAACTCGGCTGAATACAAATATTCATTCTCAATAACGATATCGTATCAAGTCCTAATAAACATTCGCCGATAGCATTACGTGATTTAAAACAGATAGGTAAATGCATAACACCAAATATAGGTATATTTCACTGATTGCACGACTTTAAGACAGCGTCTGAATAATAAATCTGATATGTCTGGAAATAACTATCAAACATCTTTTTTGTTTATAATCGAAATTGGTGAAGCATTATCAGCTAGCATATCGAATGGGTAATTGTCACTATAAACTAGAGTCGAAAGCTTTTGTATCGACTGGTTGCCAACACATTAGTGATGAAAATCAATCTGGTTTACTGAACGGGAATTATACACACATGCGTAATGACCATGTTTATTTATAGCTGGACACAATGGATAAGAAGCTTTATGTTGATAACTTACACATCTGACCTTGAACTTGTTTGTCTAGGCCTGTTAAGTCTCATACTATATCTTGGATTGTTCGAGGAAGAATTTGTATACCTGTTTGCATTATGGAGTTTACTGGGAAAATTACGTCTATAAAAATTCATTGCATTTGGGAATCTTGGTGAATAATTATTACTATGCATGTACTGTCTACTTTGATTATTACTTTTGACGAAAGTTTGCCCCTCTTCCTCTGTTGGGGATGGTGCTGGAACATTTGACAGGAAAGTAGAAGCGTGTGTTTTGGTTAATGTTTGACATTCCTTTTCGGTAAGTTCAACAGATCGTGCAATAACTCATGCGGTTTCAAAAGTCAAGTTATTACCGGCCATTAACATTTTTTCGTTAATTGTTCTATTGCAAGTTTTTTTTTCAATGATCATTATATCCCTGATTAACTCGTCTAACAAACCTGCATTATAACCACAGTTTATACTCAAATGTCTTAGGGCAGTCACATACTTACACTAGCGGCTGCCAGAAAGGATACGCTCACATTTTGCAAGAGATGGATAGAGAACAAGCTAAAAACAAACGCGATTTTTTTGTACAATCACAGGCAATAATCCAGAAAGTTATGGTCTGAAATGCGCAAATATCAAAAGGGACTGAGGTCTTTGGGATATAAAGTTTCATCAAAATCGGATAAAAATTGTGACCTCTAGAGGGTCCACAACCTTCGTATTACCACAGGAATCTGACCTTCTATCCGTATATATATGCATACACCATGTCGTACCAGACAATATATAATAAAAAACAACAGGAATGCAATGCCTGTTGAAAACTCGATCTTACCTGCTCTCGCTTCGGCTCGTTTTTTTTTCAACAATTCGTAATGTCAGGCAACCAAACTTCTGTCAATTCACTCAGATATGTTTTTTCTTCAATCTAGTCGTTTTGATTTGCATAAATACTCCCACAAAACGATATCATCGCCACTTGTTTCCAATATTTACTTCGTTTTCGTCCATTTTCATTTTGTCACAGCCGCCATGCGCTGACGTCACACAAATAGACGCATTCGACAGACCTCGTTTTTTTTGTTGCTGGGGTTGAGGGATTCTACCGATATTCGCCGAATATGTATAGACGTTTCATAGACGAATCCGCAAGCTAAAATGCGATTTTTCCAACAATCAGGGGCCATAATCCAGGAAGTTACGTTCGGATATGCGCGATTATCAAAAGGAACCAGAATCTTAGTGTGTAACGGTGATATATTCACACGTTTTGTTTAAATCGGATAAATATTCTGACCTCTACAGGGACCACAAGGTAAAAATGTGATTTTTTTGTACAATCAAGGGCCATAATTCAGGAAGTTAGGATCCGATATGCGCGAATATCGAAAGAAACGAGATCTTCAGGTTATAAACAAGCATTTCAAGTTTCCTCAAAATCGGATCAAAATTGTGACCTCTAGAGGGTCCACAACTTTGATATATCAGATGTTTACACTATTTGCTTACGAGGGGCGGCCATTTTGTCCAACAGTTTGGGTCAACCAATTCGAACTCAACCAAAATTACGGAGTAACGGTGATATAACGTTTTTTTTTTTAAATCGGGTAATAATTGTGACCTCTAGAGGGATCACAAGCTAAAAACGCGATTTTTCGTACAATCAGGGACCATAATTAAGGAAGTTACAATCCGATATGCGCGAATATCGACAGGAACCAAGATCATTGGGATATAAACATGCATTTCAATTTTCATCAAAATCGGATCAAAATTGTGACCGCTAGAGGGTCCACAACCTTGATATACCAGACGTTTACACTATTTGCGTACGAGGAGCGGCCATTTTGTCCGGCAGTTTTGGTCCGATTTTCACGAAATTCGAACTCAACCAACATTATGGTGTAACGGTGATGTATTCAAGCGTTTTTTTTTTTTACATCGGATAATAATTGTGACCTCTAGAGGGACCACATCACAATCTAAAAACGCGATTTTTCGTACAATCAGGGGCCATAATTCAGGAAGTTACGATCCGATATGCGCGAATATCGAAAGGAACCAAAATCTTTGGGTTATGAACATGCATTTCAATTTCATCAAAATCGGGTGAAAATTGTAACCTCTAGAGTGTCCACAAGCTAAAAACGTGATTTTTCGTACAATCAGGGGCCATAATCCATGAAGTTATGGTCCGATACATGCCAATATCGAAAGGAACTGAGATGTTTGGGAGATAAACCTATATTTTAAGTTTCGTCAAAATCGGATAAAAATTGTGACCTGTAGAGAGTGTCCACAGACAAATTGTGGATGGACGGACGGACAGGGACGACGGCATAATACATATAACAAGGTACAATTTTAAGCGACGTTTCGATGAGGATACTCTTGTATTTATCAAGCAAATGATACAGTGTGTGAATGGTAGGCAGATATATACAGAATATTTAACAAAAATAACAATCAAATACAATTAAAACTTAACACCTTTGATAAGGGGACCATTTACAACTGTTATAGATAAATAATAATTTACAGAGAAGTGTGTATGTATGGGGGGGGGGGGGTATAAGTGAACAAAGTGATCGTTGATGCAAGGGACACAATAAATATATTAATTCAATAAAAACTGAAAATCATGAAAGTTATAAAACCTATTATTAGACTATAAAACTGAACGAAGGGAGCCGTAAATATATTCATTCAATAAACTGAAAATCAAGCAACCGGAAGAATACTGTAAATCAAGATATGTAAAATGTATAATTAGACTGTAATAAACTGGATAAGCACTGAAATAGAACAAAAGTATGGATGCTAGGGAAACCATAAATGTATCAATTCAATAAGCTGAAAATCATGAAAGATAAAGCCTATTGTTAGACTGTATTTTAATATTTTTCGGTTTCCGTCGACCAGTACATATCTTATTCAATAAACTGAAAGTCAATAAATGTGAAATATATTATCAGACTGTAAACTGGATAAGTCCTGAAAATCAAGATATGTAAAATGTATAATTAAGACTGTAAAACTGGGTAAGCACTTAAATAGAATAAAAAATATGGGAATCAATGTATAAGTTGGTCATAAGCCCTTGGTATAAAGAGTCCCACATCACGGTTTAACTTGGGCTTGGTGTGTTTTATATTGTTGACCCCAAGAAGTTTCCTGGTTTTCTTCTGGTGATGATGTACTGCTAGGGTTCTTGTTTGGTCCCATAGGATAGTATTGTATGATGTCCGTTGTTAATAATAATAAGGCTGAGGGATTGGTGGAAGCTAGTGACTTGTGCTCTTTTATTCTTACATCAAGTGGACGCTTCGTTTCACCTACATACTTTTCGTTTTACGAGCAAGTTATTTCGTATAAACATCCTCTGGGCTGGGGGGGGGGGTCTTTTGTTTTACCATTAGCTTGTAATAAATTATGTATGGTTCTGCCGCTTGCGAAGGTGACGTCGAGGCCCATTTCTTGTTTTATCAACCTTCTATTCTGGTAAGAGATTTTGAAATATCTAAGACAAAAAAGTTCTGGAAAGTTTGGCGTGTAAGGTTCGAGAAAATTTATGCGCCATTTTGACGACGTTGAATCGGGAAAAACTTCATCGGCTGAACCGGACAGAAAAACACCAAAAATACCTAGGATAATACAACTCTTGACTTAAAAACTTGTTCTCCGACATCTCGTCGCCATATTATGTAGGGATGCTGTATTTGTGGGTTATTCATTCAAGGCAAGGAACAGAATAAAGAAAGTACTACTTCATTGAATGTTGACTGAAAGCATGGCCCTCCAACTATCCTTTATTACGCATAAGCAAGTATTACTGTAAACAATCTAATATTCAATACATCACAACAGTAATAAGTGATTTTTTATTTAATGATATATAATGATTGACATATACAGAACAAAATACCTGTTTTTCTCATTTTAACTTCGTCGTCTTGGAAACCAACTGTAAAACCAAAGAAGATGATTAATCTGAGTAGAGATCTATCTATCGATTGTAAAGGGAGATAACTGGGTAAACATTTCAATTGTCTGCTAGCAGCTAATTGTCGAATATTCTTTGCAGTAACCATACTAATGTGCTGCTATTTGACGATATTAGGTTTGTATTTGATCATATTGGGTAGTATTTGATAAGTATTTGGTAGTTAACTTGCTATTCAAGTAATATGTCCATTATGCATCATTATGTTGCAGTATTGGGTAGTATGTGGTGATATTGGAGTGGTATTGTTTCGGTCCCGTAGCCAGCTCGTAAAATTTGGTGGGGCTATAGAATTTTTTGGAGGGACTGAGGATGTGGGCGGCTAAGCCGTGCACCGCAAAGCGCCGAAGCCTCGAGCCATGGCGGTTGGTCTGGGGTTCCTTCCCCAGAAAATTTTGAAAATTTGGTGCTCTCTCCTCGCATCTGAGTGCATTCCTGGGCTTCAAATTGAAGTGCCTCAGGCAGGATTTTATGGCTGACTTTTCTGAAATTTCCTTCTTCGACTCCTCCAGCCGATATCATCTTAAGGGTAGTAGAGAGTGTCTTTTGATTTACGCGGAGAACTCTAGGCCGGGCAATACAGCTGTAGTATCAAATTTCAAGTGAACTATAGATATTCTTTTATTCTATTCATAGAATTACAGTATAGGCTGCCCAATAGGCACCTTATGTTAGACACAATAGGCACCTACATTTTAAGCGCCCGTAGGTACCCTACATCGGGTGTAGGCAAATGCCTACATCTGAACCGGCACCTTGTCGGCGAACAAATAAACCAGGGCTTCTTTTAAACCCGTAACCCGGGTATAAAATGGCAGGTCCCAGGAAAATGGCGATAAATTATGCAGCCTCTGGTACCATCAAGAGCTCCAGCTAATTTTGAACTATTTCTTCTTCCTATAGCGTAATGAGGTGGACAACCCCTTCCTAATAACCCGTGCAGTTTGAAATGAAAGATTGACACAGCCGGGCACTTGGTATCGTAGCAACGCGCGTAAACATAACAAAGCGACTCATGCTGGCGCGGCTCATTCAGATATCATCAGCATTGCGGCTTACCTTATTCGCCGATTTCTTGATTATCCTTACATGACAGGCACGCCTCGATGGACCATGCTACGAGCCTACGGGTCGCCTACCAATTTGAACACTTCTAAAAAATCATTATTGTCGGCAAAATATTCGGGGTGGGGGTGGGGGGCTAATTCGATTTTTTGGGCGGAGGGGATTGGAGGGGGTGGGGGGCTTAGCCACCCCATAGCCGTCCCGTGGATACGGGCCCGTATTGTTTAATATTGGGTAAATCGTCCCGCCGTATAGATATAGATTTGGATATCATTCATCTGCTAAATCGTGGCTACTGTACTTTTAAAACACATAATACGAACTTTTAGTTTTATCCACTTAAGCCACTACGTTCTGGAAAATGTTGCCAAACGGTCTCTAACTATGGACAAACAGTGTGAACGTAGTAGCAACGGTTTACGACCTGCTTATAACTTCATGGACGGGAAGGTGCTCTAGAACTTCGAGTCTGTTCAAAATTTTCCAACATGACTACGAGCTGAATTACCGTACTATGAACGGAATTGTCTTACTTCGATCATACTTGGGACTTGTAACCGCGTGATGTGGTCGAGCGTCAAATAGCAGTACGACCGGGCCAGTTCGCAGCCCCTCAGTACGCTGGGACAAGGTTGAGTATAAAAATATGGGCTGTTTCCCAACTGGTTGATCATTTGGCACGAGATTTCTTGCAGTGCACATCACTTCATGATTTTCAATATTCTCAACATTTTTAACCAGAACCATTGAACCTGTGAACATTGGTGTCATGCATCTTCTGTTGAAAGTAGGGCAACAGTGCAATGAAATGTGAGAAGAAGGAGAGAATCAAGAAATTTTTGGATCCAGAACTGGCTGAAGCGTGAGAGAAGAATAGCCGTGGGGCATTATCGTCTGCAGATGAAGGAGCTCCATCTGAATGAGCAAGTCTTTCTTCGACGTCTTGAGAATCACCC